CTGCTATTAGGAAATTCAGGGGAAACCCAACAGGGCAGATCTACTCTGTCCTGTAGGGTTGCTATGAGTCTCATCACGTAGATAGCATTGGTGTGATAAGGGGTTCACTGATGCAAGAGTGTGTAGGATGAAATAAGAAGGAAAGGATTTGGTTCCACCCAGAGAAGGAAGTAATGTGTGAACTGAGCTTGGAAGTTGGCCAGTAGGAGCATCGTTGGTCTTGTGATTAAAAGCCATATAGTTGGGCAAGCCTGGACCATGTGGAACTTCAGGTTGCTTATAAAATGCAGGAAGGCTGTTGGGACCATTGTGTTGAGGTCAGTTGAGTAAAGTTGAATGGGGACTTGGAAAGGCAAATGGGACCAGGCTTGTGATGGGTAGCATCTGTAGAGCCTGCATTTACTCCTGATGGCAGCTGGGGGAGCCATCGACAGTACAATTAAAATATTGAGCAGTGTGAGGGGACAGAGCCTTCTTGGGACTTTATTTTAAAAATATATCTTGAGATGAGAAACAGTTGCAAACTAAATCAGATAGCAGAGTTAGGTACTGCATGGCTTGAATCCAGAGGGTGTGGTCATGAGACCACCCCTTTTGTAGGCTGTGTTTTATATTGGGCGGGGGGAATACCAGGAAGAGAGGTTTTGGGATTGCCTTAAGAAGAATCAATTTCTTGTCCTGTTTAAAATATTCGGTCAGTAACTCACTTGGTCTGCTTTTTGTTTTTTCCTCATGGCAGTGATGGAAGTTCTGGGAAGATAGGGCTGTTTTCTCAAGGGTCAGTGCCATCCAGGAGGCAGCATGGCAGCCAGTGTTCAGAATGAATCAGCTACCAGCTGTGCACTTGCCGTTTTACACCTGGCCTTGCTTTCATTTGAGTGATCTAGATCCAGATCAAGTCCACAGGCTTTGTAATTGGTTTTGTGGTAGGTTACACATCCTACCACTCAAGAGGCTGTCTTTGGTTAATTGCTTTGGTCAGTTTCCTCATGGGGGTGGGGATAAGTTAGTATCAATTTCAGTGGAAATCAGATGAGACAATGTAGACAAAATCTCTGACACAAGGTAGCACAATGTTGAGCTCACACTGATCTCTTAGCCTGTACCTTTGTTAATTTGAGTTGTGTTTCCTAGTCTAATAAGGGGCTGTCAACAATCCCTTTATTAGTTAGTAGTCCTGGTGGTGCAAGCAGTTAACCTCAAGGTTGGAAGTTTTAACCCAGGAGAGGTGACTGGGAAGAAAGCCCTGGGATGGACTCCTAAAACAAGTGTCATGGAAAAGCCTGGGAAGCCTCATTCTACTCTGACACCCATGGGGGTCACCATCAGTCAGGATCAACTGGATTATAACTGGTTTGGGTTTGATGTCTTCTTCTTCTTTTTAATCATTTTATTGGGGACTCTTTTTTTTTCTAATCATTTTATTAGGGGCTCATACAACTCTTATCACAATCCATACAAACATCAATTGTGTAAAGCGCATTTGTACATTCATTGCCCTCATCATTCTCAAAACATTTCCTCTCCACTTAAGCCCCCGGCATTAGGTCCTCATTTT